ATGCTGTAGCTACTTTGTTGTTGTGTTGTTGCACTATAGAAATAAGATGCATCCACAATATACTACTTAATTTTTAAGTGCTCTATTACTAATAATACTCTTTGTTGCTATCTAGAGTAACGACAGTCTTTTGATTAAAATCAGTAAGCATCCATGCATATATATATATGGACATATAAATTACATGCATGAATATTGTACATTTGGTACTACTAGTAGAGTAGGAGATGAGACATCTCTGGGTAGTAGGCTGGTTTAAAGGGGAGATAACGACGCATACCTAGCTGCCTCATGTCACATTTTGGTTTATTGAAATGTATATTGTTTGCATAATGTAAATAGTTGGCAGTTGATATTACTTTAGAGAATGTGTATGTGTATTGTTGGGGATGTGGCATAAGTTAGGGACCCCCATTACTGTGTAATAAGGCCCAATTACTATGTTTTGGTTTGTCCCCTTTCTTACAATGTTGTTTTCCATTGTCTCCGACGAGCGTCCCCTTCGAGAGTATGTCATTGCCGCGCCTCTTTTTCTTGCCCATGGCGCCACGCACCGTGACTCCGCCTTTCTCGTGGAATCTTGTCCCCTTTGCCCTTTTGCCTCCACCGGCCGAAGCCCAGGACCCGGCCTCCACCATGGGAATCGCCCGGATCCTATCGGTATCTTGTCATGGAATACACACTTGGGTAATGAGAAAACAAAAGTGAAGAGCACCATCCTACTCGTTTCCCTCACATATCTCCGTACCTTCTTATGGTGGTGCTAGCGACGAGATGATGAAAGATCGAAAGTGACATCCCTCCAAATAGATAGTCTTTGTTATTGCAGTTCCTTTTACCCTAGGCCATGTTCCAACTTGATCTTTCATGCATGTGTTTGTTGCAACCGCTTGGTTGTGGCGATTAAAGCTGAGTGACATCATGACAATTTCAAATATCCGGCTATCTGCCTAGAGTTGGTGTTTTGTTTCATGGCACCCAAGCAATCTAGATAATTAATGCTGATTTGTGCTTTGTATACAAAACTTAGATGAATTTGATAGTACTCCGATTCCCAACTTTAAAAGTCGACCGTGGTGTGTATATTCCTGCATTTTTCTCGCCATGAACCTAGGGTTACCCATGTCTTAGTTACATGATGAGCTGGTTATATTGGTTCACATGCCGCTTTAAGGCTCTTAAAGGATAACTATCGAGTTACCATTGTGGTAATCAAGTTTTTCTTTGTACTAAATGTGTGAACTAATTGTTATTTAAGCGTTTTGCTCATGCACAGCTTTGGTTCATCTTGTAGGATAATCTATCTAGAGGAAACATGGGAGCGATAAAGGTTCTCTGAGGGCTTATTTCCGCAGACTGGGAGACTACAATTCATTTTTGCTGATCTGGGGACCAGAAATCAGTATCCTCATTTATGCTTCTAAAAGTTGCTTTGCTTGTGCCTTTTCTCGCTTATGGAGAGTTACATCCAAAGTCTTCTTTTCACTTAACTGGCTCCCGTGTCAACAAGATATTTCTTTGAAAATGCATTTGATCTTTGTGATGCACTTTCATTTTGTTGCTTATGTGGGAGAGAGCACATTGGAACACCTTAGGTAAGTCTGTTGTTGTTACCTTGACACTTATATTGATATCGAGGATCATCTTATTCTATTCTACATAAAATATGTGGGGATCATCCGGTTTTTTACACCTTTATGTATTCTCATATAGAATGGCTTTGAACATCCATGGCCACTTGGCGGAAAACAACATTAAGTATATTACCTTGTCTTTGGCCTTCTGTTGATTTTTTTACTTAGCTCTAATGGCACCTCTCTTTCTCTCTGACTAAACAATGTATTAAAATAAATTATTTTATCTTAATTGGTGGAACACTGTAATGTTAGTGCCGTGATCATGGACTTACTCCTATCAAATATCTTACCACAGATCTTATTTAATCCTTATTTTTTGATGTTTGAATTCCAATTTTTTTCAGAGTTGTAGCAGTTGAACCCCTTGTGATAGTGAGATTTTAAGATCCCAAATAGTGTTGTTAGGTTTTTCGTGCTAAATGGATGCAGTTATATAAATTTTTTTATTGCACATTTATTAGTAGTAAATTGCACACTTCAACTACTGCAATTATGGTGTGTAACATGTGCAATATTTGATCTTTATAAATAACTTTGTCACTATTTTAGTTAACTTAGAGCATGCAATTATTCTTGCTTTAGGGTATCGATATTCTTTTGGATGGGCTATTTGGGACTAGAAATGGGTCTTTTGTTTCAGTGTAAGCACTAGACAGTACATTTTTAAGGAGTGCATCTCATTTCTATTTTAATACAAGTCTTCTCTTTAAGGAATAGATCTAATTCGGCTTGAGAATTAGTGTGTGTTTGTGTCTTTAGAATGCATTTGTGAAGCTGGTAGGGTAAAAACTTTATCCTTTCATAGTCAAAAATTGTCTCTTGTGATTTGTGCTATCACTTCATGAACTTTGTTAATTTTGATTTATGCCAATACACATCTTATTTTTGTCCTTGTCCTCGCACATCAATATAATACAAACCCCAGAAGCACCATTTTCCACCTGTAGCTTATTTTATTAGGTGGTTTTATGTCAATGACACTGCTACAGGAGCACTTATGTCTTATGCCAGTTATACTTTAGTGATACCAAAGAACTATTTCTAATTAGACAACTTAAAAATTCAGTAAACCAAACAATTTAAAGATTCAGTTATATAATTGCAGTTTGCTATAATGTAGATTGCAAGTATCAGGCACTGTAATTTTAGTTCTAAACATATGCAATATGTTGTTGTTGAACCGTTAGCCTCGTTGTTACTAAATTGTTACTTGTGATTTGTGCTAGAGCTAGTATATTTGTTACTAAATTGCATTTTATATTTGTCATGATTTTGTGGTTGTGTCCTAGTTTGTCATCTATCTTTGTTAATACTGATAAACAAGTCATTCTTACTGGCTTTACCAGTGTTGTGCATGTCTGCTTCATTTCCCAGTAGCAGTAGGTGCTGATGATGAATGTATCTTTTGTTTCACTGACTCACTAGGTTCTCAGGACCACACTGCATCTTTCCTGTGAACCCTATTTGCTTTAGAAAACTGATAGTAAGCGAAATGTATCTATTTGTCTTCCTTGATTTTTTAGGTTAACACCAGCGGATAGTTTATTGGTCTGGCTAAGATGGTGGGTCGAGTTGATTTTAACAAGACAGTTGAATACTTGCAGCAGGACAAGTGGACTGGTTGGTTTCTGTCAAGTGGCACATTATAAAGGACATTCCAAACAGCTTGTTGAAGCACATCATTCTTGAGTATAATGAAAACAAACCAGTTACTAACAGCAGACAAACGCAGGAGGTGAGTTAAGTTGCTTTCAGTTTTTCTCTTGTTTTGTCAGTTTCTCCACTGATTGTTGATGGTTTCACATTGTTGTAGAAATTCTTGATATGCATGAATCAGGAAGTTAGTACTCTCTTAAGATAAATGGAAAATTGGTATGTCTAACTCTTTTAATGTTGCGGTAGCTAAGTTTTCCCATATTTTTTCATGGTGTCTCCAGGTTACCTGTCTAACTCTTTTAATTGTTATCTATGATTTATGCCAACACATTTCATTTCTATTTATTGTGGTTTGTAATTTGTGCCAGCACAGACATTGTCCTTGTCTTTCTATAAAAAAAATTGTTATTTGTGATTTGTGCCAACACATTTCATTTCTGTTAATTATGATTTGTGATTTGTGCTAGCGCGGACAACATTTTTTGCCCTTGTCCTTCCATAAAAAAAATTGTTATTTGTGATTTGTGCCAACATATTTCATTTCTGTTTAATGTGATTTGTCCCTAGGCACTTAATTTTCATTTAATTTTTGTGCGATCAGAAAATGCAACTTTTGTGCATCATATCGCTTCCTTTGTCAGCTATTATTATGTTCATTTTTCTTTGCTTGTTCCTGGTATCAATTTTGTTGGTAGGTTGTTTCGTCAAGCTCTTGAAGAGGCAAGACCAAAATATGTTCTGGTTCATTCATTGCCAGTGTGTATATCTTTGTTGGACCCCAAAAGACTAGCATCAGCCTCATACCAAGCATTTAGAAGCAACTTAACTCACGGGACGCTGATCACAGCCAGTCCACAAACAGTTGATGGTATGCTGGAGAGTTTAGGTGAGTGCGCTGTGCTTGATTCTTTCTACTTAATGCTACTTGTATTGTTTATATGCTTTTCATTTGTTACACCCTTGCTTTTTGTCACACACATTCTCCTTGTCATGTGCACACCTGACATGTAATGAAAATATAAAATGCTTGATTGCCTTTCCGAGGACTTACCAGTATACCTGTAATCACATCTTAGGTTACTTGCTGAAGTTACTGGACATTACTTCTTCTAAAAATGTTTTGCCTACAACTTATGGATGTTTGTGTCCGCCTCTTGGAAAACACCGTTTGAAGGTATGCTCGAATATTTGTGGATCTCTTGTTTTTAGTTTGAGCATATATGATTAGTTTTCGTTTTGCTTAAGACATTTTTCCTCCTAAATAAATTATTCTTAACCTTCCAGTTATTCGATGGAAGCATTAATGCTTTGCCTAGGGATTTTAGACTTTCTTGTTATTTAATACCATGCATGAGGATATATGATGGGGTAATTTATGAGAGAGATGCTTTTTCAATCTGAGTTTGATGGCCTCAATCTTGCCACCTTGCATAACTTCTGCGATTAGGCCCGGTGCTCGGAAGGTTCAATTAATCGTTTCCTTCATTCAACGTGTCTCTTGAGCCCTTTCTTGTCTATTTTGTTTTAATAAATTATACTTCATTTCTTTTTAGATTGTAGAGTTCATCTCTGTTTTGCTAACCATTGGTAGCGAAATTGCTGAGAAGGAGCTAATAAACCAATCAAAGATAAAGCATTGCATTGATTTATTTTTTTTTTTACGTAAGTGGACTCTTGTGTGTTTTATTCCTTAACAGTCCTTTATTAATGGCAAATCCTCATACATTGCACAGTGCTTTGCAGTACCCTTATAATAACCTTTTGCATCATCATGTTGAGAACATTATTGTTTCTTGCCTTGAGGTTAAAAGAAATCAATTGACTGACCATATCCTTAATGACTGCGGCCTTGTCGGTAAAGTCCTTGCCGCTGAAAAAGGTCCATCTCTGCCAGTGGAGTCTAATGTGGTAAATCTATTTCTTGATACTTGTCATCTTGTTTTTTTCTTTGCTGGGCTATGTCGCTAGTAATTTGATTGTGCCTTGTGTTTGTAGCCAACGTTACCGTCAGAAGAGAAAGAACCTCCAAGAATTTTGTGTACAGAAGAGGATAGTGCATCCCATGAACCTGAAACCTCTGAGCGGCTTGTGGATGCTCAAGAGGGCCAGACTGGAGGTGCGGCTGAAGCGTCAAGCACAAAGGGAGCAGCGAATGAACCTTGCAGCTCTTTAAAAATGTGTGCTACCTTGTGCTAAAACACATAGTTTCTTCTCTCTTGAAAATTATGTGTTATACAAGCCACCAACAACCATGTGTTAGCTTATGCTAAAACACATGGTTTTTCCTCTGTTATAAATTATGTGTTTTATAGCTAGCAAACAACCATGTGCTACCTTTTATTAAAACACATGGTTATTGGGTAGACAGACTCTTTAATAAAACTAGGGTCTGAAAGAAGTTCGACGAGGTTAGATTTAAAACAAGATGAAAATATGCATCGGATGATTGGGACCCTCCCGGGGGCGCCTATAGGCCGACCGGGTGAGCAGCAAGTCGTGCGCCGACCATAATAATTAAAGTCTTCCGCCGCAGCGTTCCCGCAGCGCGTCGTGGGCCGTTGCGGACTGTTTGAGTTTGCTTGTAGTGTATAATGGTCCTGATCGTCTGCCTTTTTTTTTCTTAGTTGTGGGCTGCAGGCTGAGGGTGCTGCTGTGTGTTAGTGTTCTGTTATACTGCTGCTGTCCCCTCAAAAAAAAAATGTTATACTGCTGCTGCAGCCGCTAGAGGAAGGGAGCCGACCGGACTGAATGTATAGACTGTTTTTGCAGTAAAGTATACGGAAATAATGTTTGTGCAGATTTTTTTTCTCGGCTCTTTCATATAAAATGACCAGTCGGTACGCCAGTAAAAATTCATACGAACACTGACCAGTAAAATCGGGACGACCTCTCCACATGCATATGCCTACAAAGAGCGTGCCAAGCATTTGTCTCAATCAAGTTTTAAAAATATTTAGTTGCTAAACCAAGTATCGAAGCTAAATTTTGATCTCATCATTATGTTTATTATTACAATAAGTCCATCCAATCGAGACCCCATGCAGATATATTTTATATGTAAAATTATTAATGAACATTTATCTCGTGAAGATAGAGTATTTTTTAAAAGTACACAAAATGTTCTAGGTCTAAGATAAGGTGTTCCACACTCATAAAAAAATGTCCTAAATTAAAAAAACAATATTTCATATTTATGATAAAAAAAAGCATTCTAGGTTCATAAGGAGGTATTGTAATATCCGTGAAATAGAAAAAAAGGTATAAAATATAAATAAATAAATGACATAAATAGAATAATTAATAAAAGATGGAACAAAGCATAAGGGAAAAAACACATAATAGGAAAAAAATTAAAGAACATCACGAATGCACAAATTATTCCTACAAATATTTTGGTATGTGAAAGTAAAAAGTAATTTAAATATAAAAGGATAATAAAATAAAAAGAGAAGAAAAGATTAGTAAAAGAAAAATAAAATAAAATAAAAAAGAAAATAGAAACAATAAGAACATCACAAAATATATCATAGAACATCATATGTATACTACCTGAACATCGTTAAAAATACATCATAGAACATCGAAATATATAGTACGTGAACATCTCAAAATATATATTAGAGCATCAAATGTATACTATTGGATATTAGAAAATACAACATAGAATATTACATATATACTACCTGAACATCCTAAAATACATCATAGAACATCACAAATGCATAAATTATTTCTCCAAATGTCTTGGTATGTGAAAGTAAAAAGTGATTTGAATATAAAAGGAAAATAAAATAAAAGGAGAAGAAAAGATTAGTAAAAGTAAAAAGAAAATAAAAATCACTAATCATATAAAAAATAATATGACAATAATCTATAATATACCTAATAAATAGTATGAGAATGGTCTTATTATGCTATAGAAGAAATCGTTTAAGTGAATATCACCACAAGATCATAAATAAAAAAAGAGTTCCGCCTTCATACACAAATGTTCTAAGTTCACGACAATAATATTTTAGATGTAGGAAAAAAAATTCTAGGTGCATATGAATGGTAGGAAACAATGAAAAAAATATGAAATGGACAGAAAAAGTTAAATACATAAATGAATGGACCAATCACATGAATGAAAAAAGATAAAAGGTAGAATAAAGCATAATGGAAAACAAGAAATAAAAAGTCACGTAACAGAGAGAAATTTAAAAAAGATCTTATGGATACTATATGAGTAGCCTATATAGAACATCTCATGGGTATTTTATGAATACTCAAAAATAATAATAGCATATCCTATTTATACTATGTGAAAATCATATATAGAACATCATACATAGAAAACCAAAAATTTTAAAAATAAAATAAAAAATAATTAGAATAAAATTAAAAACGAAAAAGAAAAAACAAAATGAAAGTAAGAAAATATACTAAATACATAAAAGGAAAGATAAAGGAAAAAGAAATAGAAGGAAAGAAAGGAAACAAAAAGAAAAACATGAAATAAATAAAAAAATTTAATTACCAAAAAGAAAAAATAAACACCACAAAAGAAAGGAAAAGAAAAAAAAAAAATAGAAAAAGGAAGAAAAAGAAAACTCTACCTATGTGTGGGAAGGGGCGACGAGGTAATTGTAATGTGTATCGTATGCGATGCTCGACGCTGCTTCTAACCACAGGCCAACGCATGCTCACGCATGGGCCAAGGCCACCACTCGACCATCGGCCATCGTGCATCTGGCCTGGCGCTCGTGGGGGTCAAGACCATGCTCAGGTCCGACTGGTCGGCAGCGATGGTTCCCGGACCCTCCCGGCGGATCATCCTGGTGGCACTATGCACTGCTTAGTCTAGCTGTGGCCACGGTACTGGAAATTCGCCGTATGATCCAATGTGTCTATGTGGCACTTAAAGTCTCATCTGATGACCATGTTATTGACCGCGTTGAGTGGCCAAGCTGCTCAATATCGCCATATGATCTGGTGGTGCTTGTGTGGCCCATGGTGTATCATTTGGTGGAGCATATTCTTTTTTAAACGTTGAAAACCTAGCAAGAATAAGATCACCTTATGATCTAGTGTGGAAATTTTCCATATGATCTAGTGTGTCTGTGTGGCACTCAATGTATCATATGATAACCCGACGAATCATCTTGTGATGTCGATATCTGCGGTCTTTTTCCAATGGCTACCGACCTCTTCCACTCTCTACATATGTGTTCCCTATCTCGTTCCGAGCTCTCTTGAACCCATAGTCGTGCTACACATATATAGAAAGTTTGTGAAGGGTCCAAGGGCATTCCAAACATTGTTCACCTAAAAGGGCCATTTAGCCTTTTTACACACTGTTTGAACTATACATGGTGGTACGCCGTTTCCGTTTAATGGATCGTCTATCATATGTCTGTTTTGCTCGTTTAAGTGTTTGTTTAGGCCGAATAATGGCTAAACGACAAGTGACCGACTCTTTACTGTTTACTATTCGGTGCTCATTTAAGAGCATGATTTTAGGTGGTTTCATATTTTTCTGAGTTAAACATTGTCTCTATGAATTTTATAATATTAAATCATATTTTAGTATTTTTAAATACATATTTATTCAAAAAATATTTGAATATAAAAAAAAAATCATTTCTACACATTTAGAGGTCTAATTGACCTCCCTGAACTATCACAAAAGGCCGATTTACCTCCTTCGTAGCTAACGTGGCGCGTCGTAGGACGATTGATGTGATGTCATGTTAGTCAAAACCACTCGTAGAGATAAATCGTAGGTAAAAATCTGGTTTTCTAAGTGAACTAAATCGGACTCAGATAATAGTTGTGACTTTGTGAGAGATCAAATGGACTTTTCCATTGAATAACGGGCCCAAAATAGAAGCAACTCAGGCTCAGCAGCCCGCCATAATGTTAGGCTTTTTGGCCCAAAATCTCATTACAAAAGGTTTTGGCCCAAATTGATGGCAACGGGGATCGATCCTCGATTCCTCGCGGAGAATTCCCCTATTAGAGGATGGGGATGGGGCTAAATTCACCCATGAAGATTTAAACGGTAGAAAATTGGTTCCCGTCGGGTCTGGCGGGGACGGGGATGGTTTGGTGTCCCCCGTATCCCCGGCCCGCTAAGCTGCTACGCAGGCGCGCACCAGTAAGACAAATCCCACCTAAAGGCCCAACCCGCACCAGACACACTCCGCCGACGCGCCGACACAGCACCACCACCAGCCTCCGTCTCTGTCTCGCCCTCTCCCTTTCAGGCCTCATCTTCCACTTTCAGCAGTCCGCACAAGGCAGAAGGCACCCCACCTGGCCACCTGCATCTCCATACGGGCATACGCCGAGCGCCCGTTGCATACTGTGCTGTGTTCCAAGGAGAGAACACCGGCAGCTCAAATCCAGCAAGAAACGGCCGAGCAAGCAAAAGGGACAGGACGTGGTCTGTGGAGGTGCGGCTCAAATCCGTTGGAGCCTGCTCCTGCTTCTTTTGTGTAGAATCAGAGTACTACTAGATCCATCTATGTACAGCGTGCTTGTGCATTGGAGCCTGCTTTTGCTCCCGCCCTCCAGATCTGTGTGCTACTAGATGCTCTCTGATGCTCTCTGAGTGTAATGATGTATGTCCAATGCATTGCGTGCTTGTGCAATGGTGCCTCCTTATTTTTATTGGAATTTCATGGTGTTAATTTGTTCTTATCCTGCACTTTTATATGGTTGTATTCTTCTAGGCTGTGTCAGTTGAAACGGGGACGGGGATCCCCGGTGTTCAATTTGTTCTTCTCCTGTACTTTTATATGGTTGTATTCTTCTTGGCTGTGTCAGGCCTTGTTTAGATTAGGGTTAGAATTAGTATTTGGCACTGTAGCACTTTCGTTTGTACTTGATAATTATTGTCCAATTATGTCCTAACTAGACTCAAAAGATTCGTCTTTTAATTTACAATTAAACTGTGTAATTAGTTATTTTTTTATCTACATTTAATACTTCATACATATATTTAAAATTTAATATGATGGAGAAAAAGTGAAAAAACTTGCGATCTAAACCAGGGAAACGGGGACGGGGATCCCGCGGGGATGAATTCCCCGCTCGGGAAGTCGGGACAGGGATGGGAGAAACTCGAGCCCCGACAGTTGTGACGGTGACGGGGACGGGGAAAGTTTGTCCCCGCGGGGACGGGGATGGAGAGCCGTTCCCCGACGGGGAATTCCCCGTTGCCATCTATAGTTCTCCTCGATCTCGACTTGGCCTTGCATCTGCGTTTGCTCCGCCTCTCGCCGGCAGCTGGCAGAGTCACGGCTTCTCCTCGCCCTCGCCATCGTCGGACGCAATCCCGACTCTCGAGTCTCGAGTCCCCTTCCAGTCCAGTCCACCGGAGCCATAGCCGTTGCTTTCCTCCCCCCTCTCGTCTGCTGGTGCAGGAGCGCAGATCCATCAGATTGGACTGGTTTCCTCGTCTTTAGGTGAGAAGGAGAGATTGCTTCGATGTTTCGTTCTGGGTCTTCTCTTTTCTTCTCGACGGGAGTTAGATTCCAATCCGTGTTTCTGATATGATTTTCCAATTGCTGCAGGACCTGATTTTGGGCGGGCGCAGTTGCGGAGATGCAGAGGCTGGGGGATTTCAGGCTCCCTCCCTTCTTCAACTACCCGCCTTACTTCACGTAATCTGTCCTTTTTCTCGCTCTATCCGCTGCCTTTTATTATCTTTCCAAACACTCCAGTGACTAGGTCTTCGCCTGCTCTGAGAAACAATGCCACCATGTTTCTGTTGTCTGCAACCTTGCAGCTGTATGTGTAAGGGAGGATCGATGATGCTGAATTGGCTATGGATGTAGTCTCAGTCAGTGTTTTCAGAATGCGAATTTTCGCTCCTATACTTCCAACTATTTTGGTGGTTTAATGAAATGGATGAAGTACTTGTAGTTGCTTTTATGCTTGCATGTTTCATACTGATGGTGCTTGCTTTCTGTTTTTCATGGTGTTTTCAGTTTAGAAAATTCACCATTCATCCAATCGATATAGATGGAATTGCTAGCTTGGCATTAAGGTTTCTTGACAATATACTGTTATACACAGCGCATTAATAGTTTGCGATTTTTTTTTTTTTTTGCTTGCACCGTGGCATTTTAAATTAGTGCTAGTACTTAGGTATCATATAAGCAAATTTAATCAACCTAATGTATTCCAGATTTGCAAGCTTCTCTTAATATGTACTAAAGGAAACTTGCCACACACCCACACACCCCAATTTGTTTTGTGATGGCTTGTAAATAAGCTATACCCTGCCATTCCATAGATTATGACCACAAACCATGTATGTATAGTCGTATTGTCTTGTTCCTTAGTGAAGAACAGAAGATATATCCAGTAGTTGCACATAACTTTTCAATGTTATGTATATGTTGATTCAAGGTCAACCTTTTCTGACAGTCCTGTTCACAAATTTATATAGTAAGCCTCAGATTAGAATGTACAGGTCTAAATCTATCTAATCAATATATTGTTATTCTTGAAAATTATCATTAGGCCAATATTTTGTTACATGTATGTTAGTTTCCTATCATATTGGCACACTATGTAGATTTGAGATGTTTTCACTTAATAAGAAATAGTATTTCACTAGATGACAATGCTTCTAACATATTTTGGCATTCTCTTTGGCATCCATTGGTGCATTATTGCATTTACTCGCTTTGTTAGTTATCAAAATTGCTGTTTTATTATCTTCAAAACTCCATTTGAACTTGTTTTCATGCACTCTCTCAACACCAGAACTGAGAACTATATCATGCCATGCTAACATATATCCCTCAGTTTGCAGCCTGTGCGTGAAACGCGGGAAAAACAAGTGCAGTTATGGAAAGATCTGATACTCGATTACTGTAGAAGTCAAAAGATACATACAATATCCCTGGAAGAAGACTTCCCCTTGTTCTCCAATCCAAAGATAGAGAGTAATACACATTTATATTAATTGTAGTTTTGACATATTGTTTCCTACACTTTCAGCGAAACATGTTTTATTAGCATATCTGTTGGCTCACTGAAAATTTGTGCCTTGCAATCTGGTGTGATGATAATGTACACAGAAAACCTACCATGAGTCATTTTGAGCATACTGTACTAGTCAATACACATATGATATATTGAACCACTAGACAAAATTACTTTATTTTTGTACACTTATTTTAGTCATTGCACTCCATTTACAGCCTTTTTGTAATGCAGGATCTCTTAGCCATGAAGCAAAGGAAGTGTTCCTTGCAGCTCTCGTCAGTGAAGGTTCATTCTGTAACTATTAATACTTCTTTAGTTACTGTTGTAGCTTATGGTAGATTTTTACGGTGTGCTATACTGTTTGATAATCAGGATATGTTTAAATTTTTTTGCTGAACCTGCAGGTCGTGCGGAGTGGATGGACAAAGGTCACAAGAAGTGCCTAATTCTTTGGCTAAGGATACAGGATTGGGCCAATTTCATATTAAACTTTGTAAGATTCCTCTGTATTTCCTAAGGTGCTATCTGTTTATGAACAAATTGGGCATTGGTTCATTGCGGCATGATATTTCTCTTTGCATTTTGATTGTAGGTAAAGGATAACGGGTTGGAAGTAATGACTATCGAAGAAATACGCTCTGGGATTGATACACGTGGAACTGGTGAGTTTAACAAGCTTTTGTAGTAATAAGGCCAGATTTGACATCTTCTTCAAACATTAGTATTTTTGTGACAGGGAAACTGACCTCACAGCAACTTGCAGTAAAAAGCACTATGATGTCTATATATAACTTTGGTGGTATTTCGTCAGTAGTAGTGCAGTACAAAGTATGCACTAACAAATAATGGAAATACTCTGTTACAGAACTTGAGGGAATTGATCGTGGTGTTCTCATGCGGGCTCTGCGGCAGTTGGAGCAAAAGGGAAAAGCAGCTATCTTCAAAGGCACTTCGGCCGATGACGAAGGTGTAAAATTTTCGGTGTAATTCTTTTTGCAATCCTCAAACTGGCAGGCCAATAACCTCGATCAGTCGGTGTCCTTGAACATGGCATGACACATCCATAATCTCGATCATTCAGTGTCCTTGAAAATGGCATGACACATCCCTGTAAAGCAGTATGGCTTCTGGTCACATCCTTCCTGAGTAGTATGTTCTTCAGTGCTGCGGTGGTTGTTAAACTTCCCGACTCATCTTTGCTGTAGTGAAAAATTGACCAAGCCTGATTAAACATCTGTGGTCTGTGGAGTAGCTGGTAAGCAGTTGAATGGTCATTCCTCGTATGCTGATTTATTTTCCTATATCTAAGCAACTGTGGTCAATAACGGTGTGTGAAGCCAATTATGAGTTCATTCGAAATGGACGTAAGTTCCCGGGTCGAATAATGGCCTTGTTTAGTTGTCTTATAATCTATATTTTTCAGCTTGTTTTTTTTAATGTTTTTCTCTCACAACAAATCAGATGGAACAATGTTCGGTTTGTTTTTTCAGCGAAGCGAACGGAGCCAATATAGAAAACGGAAATTTATATGTGCTTGTTTGGAGCAAAGAAACGAAGTCGTAAATTCATGTGAAAAAAAAATCCTTGCAAATGTTGTAAGTTTCTCAAATTATTTGTGAAGCATACAAGCGCCACTTTATATGTGCTTGTTTTTTTATCAAAGAAATCGAAATTATAAATTCATGATTTTTTTATACCAAAAACCAATTCGTCTTTATTCAAAAATGTTGTAAAACATCATTTCTTTCAAATTAATTTCTTCAAAAATGACTTAAATTTGACTATATTTGCCACTTTTTTTAAGATGCACTTTCACTTTTCAAACGTCTTACAATCTAGTACATGCATACGGATACGGTGTTATCCTTCTTTGCGTACAACCTTAGATTCAAAGATGCCAACGTTTTCGTTGCTTTTTCCCGTGGAGCCGACACTTCGCCTCAAACTCCTTGTACGCTCCGGAACTCGAGAACCTTCCTAGAAGCGAGCTGTTGATCGCCCAGTTCAGGTAAAACGAGTCACAGTCAGATTCTCTCTTGCTAGTTGCTACCATCCCAGCCGTCCGCTCCAAGCAGAAACTGGGATCCACGCCGGCAATTGGTTTTCCCACGCAAGACAGATAGGCCACGAGGAATTAATCAGCCTGTCCCAATCACAGGAATCTGTTATCTGTGGGCGGGCAAGCATCTGGCTGGCGAGTGTATGAGCGACAGTTTCCCGTCAATCTTGCACGTCAGCTACACGCGTACTCCGTCAATTTATTATTTATTATTGTTGTTCAGAAACGAAAATGGACGATAATTCTCTGCGACGAGTAGCTAGTGGATAGCAACAAGCAATTTGACGCCGGCTGCTTTCATCGATTAGCCATGGGCCCATGGTAATGGCATCGCATAGTAGCCACTAATAAAGTAAGGGAAGGAGGCCCCAGGAAAGAAGCGCTGGTTCGATGAAGCTGCATTAAATAAAGCCAGCACGCAAACCAGCAGCGTTCAGGGGAAGCCCATTTACATATATGCCCTTTGTCCCGGTTCCTTTCCCCAGCCCCAACTCCATTATTATTTGCTTGATCCTTGACAAGAGAGATCTGAGAGAGAGAGAGAGAGAGACGAGAGGCGGAAGCAAAGGAGGAACATCAGTTCTTCAGCTAGGCAGGTTTGTTTCTCGCCTCAGAGAGATCTGAGAGAGAGAGAGAGAGGAAGACGAGAGGCGGAAGCAAAGGAGGAACATCAGTTCTTCAGCTAGGCAGGTTTGTTTCTCGCCTCTTTTTTCCCCCAAAGAAATCGGGGGAGCTTAGCTTTTCATGGCAAGACTTGATTGCTTGTTTCTTGTATCTTTTTTTTTCCTTTCTGGAAATAGGAGGGCACAGGAAGGGGGAGATGGCGTCAAAGAGGATTCAGAAGGAGCTCAAGGATCTGCAGAAGGACCCTCCCACCTCGTGCAGTGCAGGTCCTACTGCTTTCTTTCTTGCCTACTCTTCTGTCGATTTTTTTCATTTTGAGCCATACCCCCGTGTAGGTGTCAGATTTTGCGCACATGCTTCTGAACAGGCCTCTTATTCACAGCTTCACATGCTTGCCTCCTTTAGTATTTATTAGTATAGAACTGTACCAACAAATTTTTAGACAAGGCAGCCTGATAACCCTTGTGTTGGGTTAGTGTTTGAGGGGTGGGGTAGATATGAGATGAGATGTTATGACAGTTGTTACATGGAAATGAATTGGTTCCATTCTCACTTTATGTTGTGCAAATTTTTTTATGGTTTTACCATTCTCTCAAAGGAACGGGATTAATTAGCAACTTTTAGATTTATATGTGACATGCTTAGTTTTCCTACCAAAAATGGGAAGATGATGATGGTGATATGTCAAATCGTTTCATTTCTCCATTCGGTAACTGATGTAACGAGTAGTTATCAACGTAAACAAACATTGAAGGAATACTATAATTACACTGAGGAACAGCTAGCATGTAGGACTCGTCCTTTTCATGCTTGCTATTAGTTGCATAACTAGGATAAGTTGTCCATAAAAGTATATAAAAATTGTTCACAACACGATATATTCTGGGGCATAATCATTGGAACACATCAAGTTACATGAATGAACTATTTTCTAGTTGGACAAATCATTCAACAATGTGAGCTAGAATGATGACAGAGCAGTCTTCACTGAAAAAATTATTAGCATGTCTTATTTACGGATAAAACTATCTGTTTCCATTGAGCTCAGTTTTCATGTTTAAACTAGCTATACCCTGTTGTTTTCTGTAGGTGACATGCCAGTCCTTTTTTTAAGTTGACATGTCAGTCATTAGTTTTTTTTTCCAAAAAAGTATAAAGTGTTAGTATATCATTTTCTAGAACCCTAGTTCTATTTAACTGCTCTGGGGATCAGAAAACATATCGTTGTTTCTTTCAGTTGATGCACAAACATTTCAATTCATAAGTTGATGTTTCAATTACACTGGTTGTTTGACCTGTTGAGATCAGGACAGCGAACTATAACTGGAAGAGCCATGGTTATCAAGTTGCTAAGTATTTTTTTTCTCACTTTCTTGATTGTGTTGTTGAGCTTGGTGATGTTGTTGATGCACCATGGCAACACCATACATGAAAATAAATTATGGTTTGGAGTGAATATATGTACTGGCTACTGCTGTGTGCACGTGAAGCTGTCAGAATTTGTTGGAGGAGGAAATTGTCCCTTCAGTTTCTTTGGTTTACAAAGAGTAGACTGCGAACTAAAACTTGTTTTTCCATTTTTCTCGTTCTAATAGAACATGTGGCAAAGCTTTTACTGCCCTTTTGGGAAAAAAACAAACCAGGGCCTGGCAAATATTGTTGTTCATCTTTCTTAAGTGCTATTTGGTCTTCCTTGTTTGAAGCTCTTTTAGTTGTCTTGTCTAGTTAGTTATGTTTCCTACCAAATCTGTAGTCCTAGACCATATGCCCATCAGGTAAGAGGGCTTCAGTCCAATTTGTGACCTTGATTTTTCTGCACTCAAAAGTTCAGTTGTGTCCCTTGTTTGTGACAACATAATCTTATTTGGCAGGTCCTGTTGGTGAAGATATGTTCCACTGGCAGGCAACAATAATGGGTCCATCTGATAGCCCATATTCTGGTGGAGTTTTCCTAGTTACAATCCATTTTCCTCCTGATTATCCTTTCAAACCACCAAAGGTACAGCAAACGATTAAGCATTTGGGCAATGATCATTCCTTATTTTTGTGCATTTTTCCTTATTATTTTTTCCATCGAATTTGTAAAATAAACATATGCATAAGCTCATTTATTCCTAGGAGCGTTACTCTGACCTTTGCCCTTGATATCTGCAGTGTTTAGTGCCTTGATAATGCATATGAGCTAATGTGTAATAGCCAATAGCTTATCGGTGAGATACCATGCCACTAAGTGCACTTGCTGAAAACACTGAATTATTTTTGGATGAACTCTTAAGGAGATTATCACAGTTTCATGTGCATGCTTGAAACTTTTGAAAATCTGAAATTCATCTGCCTTACCAAATCCATATATCCTTAAAAAAATTGTTATATTCCAAATCATGTAACCTATATCTATGCAATACGCAGGTGGCATTCCGCACCAAGTTGTTCCATCCAAACATCAACAGCAATGGGAGCATTTGCCTTGACATCCTGAAGGACCAGTGGAGTCCGGCACTAACCATCTCCAAGGTTGGTGATTACTCTCATGGATAACAAACATTATCCTTTCCATGGTTGTAGTAGTCTTGGAGAGCTACCTACCAGCATCATCATCAATCTGCTCCATTTCAGGTGCTGCTGTCCATCTGCTCCCTGCTGACTGACCCAAACCCCGACGACCCTTTGGTCCCCGAGATAGCTCACATGTACAAGACGGACCGGCACAAGTACGAGAACACCGCGAGGACCTGGACCCAGAGGTACGCCATGTAGTAGTACCTAGCTACCTGGCCTTTCGGGCGGGTCGCCGGAATCGTCGCTGCTGCTGCGTTGTGTTTCTGGACCTGGACTGGACGTGTCTCCATGTATTCGATCTGTCCTGTATAATGATGAATCAAATTGGGTTTGCAGTACAGTGCATCACCGTGTGGTGCTGAATGAATGCTGCTGTATTGTGTCACTTGGAAGCTGTAATTCTGAATGTCAAAAACTGGTGCTTGGAACCGTTTTGCGTCGGATGCTGCTGCAGGCGAGTCCATGTTTGCGTCCTTTTCCCTTCACGACTCATCGTGTTGGAAGAAAGGGGCGATCCGGAGCAGGTGGTTCCGTTTTTTTTACTGCGAGACAGCCATGCAGGCATTTCGTCTCAAATGAGCGTTCGCAAATAGCCAAATACCTTGGTTTTTTTTCAACTCCTATATCTTAACCTTTCGGGGGGAAACCGTTTGCAAAATACTTGTAGCAGCAGAGAAAGAGATTTGGTTCGTCAAGGCCATGGAACTCCTCCACCACGGTCGCCATCGGGCGTGGCTCGTCTGTGACTGCTGGGCTGGTAACTAGAGGCCCATAATGGAGATGCAAAAGCCTAATAACGGCCCCCATCGTGCAGCGGCCTGTGAGCAGTCTTTGGACTGGCGAAAACGGCGGCGGACGGCCGTTGAGTGGGCGGCGTTCCTTCGGACTTCGGAGGAAGTAAGGGGTTGTTTGTGTTGCCCTTGTTAAAGTTTAGTTAGCTAAATTTAGTTTCATTTAATTATTTTTTATCTAAACACTATAATTAAATGGGACTAAAAGAGGTTTTAGCCAACTAGTCATCAGGTTGTTGCTAAATGAGACTAAATGGGGCTAAACCTCACTTTTAGTTTCATTTAGTCACTTTAGAGCCAAACACCTTCACCAAAAGGGACTAAAAGATCTCTTTTAGTCACTCAAACCAAACAATCAATAATTAAAGTTTAGTCTATGATTTAGTTACTAAAGTTTAGCAAAGGGAAAACCAAACACCCCCTAATCCGACCTTGCTTTGCCGAGGGAGACCATGCAAGCTAGGCGAGGCAAGCCAATCTGAGCAAAGGTTCCAAGCATGCCCAGAACCTTCCTCGAGGACCGCGGCGGCGGCAGCCAGCAAGGGGCTTGCCAAGTTGCCATGCCAGCAAAACTTAATCTCAGGGTATCACTAAAACATAAAATGCTCATTAAAACATAAACTTAATATTTTTTTGAACAAAAACCGTTACAGAGAAAGGGGCCACCCAGGGAGTGACCACACCACCAACACACACAAAGAAAGAAGAAGAAGAAAACATGAGAGAAGAGAAAAAGAAACTTAACTAAACTACCTACCAGGCTAAACTACAGAAAACAGAACTATACAAAGGATTACAAGCTATAAAGCCAAGAGCGAACAGAGGAGTGGAGAGAAGGCTTGATTCTGTGCAGATGATTAGTGACTTCATGTCTGAAAGCAGCTTTCCAGGAGCTCAAACTAGGAGCCTTTCCTTCGAAAATAAAAACATTTCGTTCTACCCAAATACAATTTGCCGAGATCATAAATATTTCCATGAAGAAAGAATGGGGAGAAGCTTCCCTTGCAATGATTAATTTTTGAAAAAGATCAATTGAATCTATCCAAGTGATGCCAAGATTAAACCATCTACTAATAGCAGCTGGACATTCAAAAAACAGGTGCTCGACTGTTTCCTCAACATTATCCTGCCAAAGTACACAACTGTATCCTTCTTGCAGAATTTTTTTCCTTTTTCTGAGAATATTACGAGTGTTGAGTCGATCATTCAACAAGAGCCAGGTGAAGAATTTGATGGGTGGGACACATTTGGATTTCTAAATCCTACGAATGGGCTGCGGAGTGACTATGCTGGAAAAATGGTAATGATAGTACCTATTAGCCGAATAGGAGTTCTTTCCCCAGATAAATGTCCAGTGATCCTTTTGATCAGAGGAGTCATTTAATATTGGAACTGAAAATAAGAACTCAGACTTAAAACTTATTGAAATAGTGCATAATGGTTAACTGAGATAATTGCACTTAAAGATAAGTTTTCTTAAACTTAAATATCCTCAGCAAAAATATATTCCCAAAACATACTTAAAAATAACTTAAATATCATCATAAAAGGGCATAATTAAATCTTATTTGAGATGGGAATATACAACGTTATGTGAGCAACAAACTTAATTTATAAACTTAAATCAATATCTAAGTTGATGGGAATAAACTTAAACTAAAAATTAAACATAACGAGGGCACTAAAAGCTTAATTAGTACTTAATTAAACACTTAGATATTGCACTTATATTAAATAGCAAAGGAAACTTATTTTCTGAAAATAAAACTCAGTTTGGCCTGTGAAGAATAGACCGAGCAGTAGCCCAAAAGGAAACTCATAAAACCCAGTGAGCAGATTTAAATTATTATAAACTAAACTCATAAATAATGAAAAATAATATTAATCAACTTAAAACTCAACTAAAAAAGCTTAAATGGTGCGCTGACATTAAATAAGAATCTCAAACCTTGAAAAAAATAAAAGACTTAATTTCAGCCCTTAAACGACATGGCCCAGTAGTGGCCCTTATGTGCTGCACAACGCTTGCGGCCTGCCCAGAGGCCCGAGAGGCTCCCCTTGGAAGCCCACTCGGCTTTCTAAAGCCCAGCAGCGGCCCATTCAGCATACACTAACGCATAAGAATTCTTAGCCGTCGATCTGAATGGATGGACAAGATTCAACTGAAGCTTATATATATAAAAATCTGCTGAAACCCTAATTGACCTCAGTCCTTTACTGTTCCCCTGCTTCTTCACGCACGCAGCCAACACAGAGTGGCCCTGCTTCTTCATGCACAGAGCCGACACAGAGAGGGAGCAGCGCCACTCCACACTCCTTGGCCCAACCCCTACCCGTCATCATCTTCTCTAACCTTGGCGAGGCCAATGCTCTTAGGGAAGGCAGTCAGATCAGTGAGGTTGAGTTTGAATTGCATCTTGAAAAAACAACGAATCTACCCCTCCTAAACCCCTGCTACAAGAAACAAATATATCTGGGGGACAGACGAGAAAGGAGAAAACAAACACGACAAAAAGAGGACGTGCCAAATGAACATATGAAAAAGCAAAGACTACTGCAACCACTGCTGCCACACTACTGTAACCATTGTTGTTACTCCTTAGCCAGCTAATCATGTTGCTGCTATAGCGGACATCAAAATCAAGTGTCATATCCCTTTTATATAGAACTCAGCCCACCCCAAAATCAATCTAATATATACAAACAGGTCCCATTGGAACACTACTGCAACCATTCTTGCATGATCCTTTTTTTGTCAACATGTGGGAGCATATGAATACATAGAATCCATACATAGAACATGTGACCAAGATGGTACATGTAATCAGAATGACGCACCAGCACTTAACATAGACGCAAACTAGCCTTTTTTCAGCTGTATTATGTTAAGATAAGCACTAGCAGCACCATGTGTTGGTGTGTCACCGAACATGTGAGGTGGGAGTGGAGAGAAAGAGAGATCCGAATAAGTGAGGGGCTCAGTCCCTCCCCCTCTCCCACTTTTATATAGGAAGTGGGACGATATGTTTTCATTATTTCTCCCGATTAGACTTGTTTTTATAAAAAAAAGGCACTAGGGACTACAAATGGGGCCCTAAATATTATTTTACAAGCCATGCTATGTAATTGGACCTTGAACACAATAATATGGCCCCCAACATATTATACACCCCCAACAAATAGCTTTGCATAAGTGTAATTGCGTCATCAGTGCTTACTGTTCACATAGTTCGTTCCTCTTTACAGTGTGCTGCTTCCGATTTCCTGGATTTCAGTAAAAAATTTCCTTGCTGGATATAAATTTCAGAAACAAAATTGTGTTCTATTGGTGACAGATGACATAAAATTTGTTACTATATGCTAACACCTTGCAGTTCAGATCGACAGCTGTGCTTATGGAAGCTATATTATGGACTTTAAATGTTGGAATGGGTGATAGGACATTGCCGGTACAATTATGCATATGTTTTGGTTAAAAACATAGTTATATTTAGTATAAAATTAATACACTTGTGTAATTGAGGTAATCAAGAAAAAGATCATGTTGTGGATGAATGAGATTAAGAGATAAGTGTTGGTACTCTTTCCTAAAATGTTATAGTTATGACGTGTGTATTTCATTAATTTTTAGCCCAAGTAATATCCCCTAGAACATATGAACCAATTTCTTATCACAGTACATATGCATATCATGTGGAAGTGGAGGCAAACACTTTTGAAAAGAGTGTCTGCACAGTACTCCTTGCAGGAATAGCTTAGACATGAATCACTAGATGTCGTCTTTGGCAAGTGATATTGTTTGTGGTTATGACGATTAGTCCATTACCATGCAAGCTTGAAACTCTTTACTTTAGGTCTGAAAATGCATTTGCCATATTGGGTATCCATATCTCTCTACAAAGCAAAGCAACAACAGATTCGAAATTTTCTGAACTCGATATGCATTGAGAAGGTGGCAATTTTTATGGGCGCCTTGGCCTTGGCATCTTCAGTGACCAATGGAGCCTTCAACTACTGTCTTTCATGGTCGGTGAATCTTTCAGAGTGGAGCAGGTGGCAAGTTTTCAGGCGTTGGTGTCCGTCTACTCCCTACCGACTAATTCTTTTTTAGATAATTACTGACTGATTCAGACCTTGACGATCCTCTAGCTGCAGACATAGCTAGTAAAACTTTCATTTGCCCTTCTCTCGAGATCTTACTAGTAAACTTTCCCTGCATGCGGATGCTGAAAATACTGTTAGCTGATTTATTATGAGAGAAAAATACTATTTATTGTGAAAATGTATGCCTTATAAGCTCGACGAACAAGACGATGTCGCCGAGATGCTTTGCTGCGCTGACCTCCCTACTCCTGCTCTGCACTGCACGCGGTACCCATGCGTTTTTACTGTGCAACGTACCAACTC